ACAGAGAGAGAGAGAGAAAGAGAGAAAGAAAGAGAAAGAGAGAGAGAGAAAGGGAAGAGAGAGAGAGAGAGAAAGAGAGAAGGGAAAAAAAACTGTTCACGGGTAACGGTATATCCCAGCCATGTCGAAAACACGAAAGCAGGCACGATTTGCCGCGGGCACGCGCGCGCGCGCTCCGCGCTCTCTCTCCCGACGTGGGTCTTCTTTCACTGGCACACACCGAGAGACTCGGCCCGGTGACGCGTTACTGGCCCCACACGCATAACTATCAGTGCACAGTGCAGATCCCACGGAATCAAAAGCGTCTCCCGTACGCGTTCACCTCTCTCCCGCGCCTTCTACATAACGCACCGCACCGATCTTTTATAAGATTTCTACAACGCGAATGTCCAACGAGGGAACACACACTCGCGACACCCGTTCGCCGACTGAACGTGTTGCTCGCGAGCACCGCATTGATACGATGGAAGGAGAGCCTGAGGACACCTGCTGGGTCACCCCGGAACCGAACATGGAGGGAGAAGTCCGTTGGTTTGCGGGAAATTTTTGAATTCTGTACGCCAAATTCAGACACGTTTCGCGAGGGGGTAGTTTGGTGTGAGAGGTTACAGGTTTTTGTGTGTGTTTGCATTTTGCAAATGTCTCCATATGCCTGAAATATTTCTGTGGAAACTTGACGGTTTTGTCGGTTGTTCTTTGGTCGACGTGTTGTACTGTATGTAGAAATTAGGGATATTGAAGGGTAAGTGGTTTAGATGTGAAATATAGGAAGAGGACTATGCTTTAATTGGATTGGAAAATAAAGCGTTAATTACAGGATTGGAGTGGAAATAAGATATGTTTGGTAAGCTGGAGCCACCTAGTAGTAATAGCTGGAAATGTATAACCTAACCATGATATTCGTAAGCGTAATGTATTTTCATACGGGTACACGAGAGCTTTGTAATTGGTATTTATAAAGCGAAAGTAAAAGCTTACGGAGTATAATTTGTTTGACCATCTAGGATGTATACCCTCGAGATCGAATTTGAGAGATTTGATGAATTTTATGGGCTTTTATTTAATGATATTAACACAATCATACGTTGCGAATGGGAAGAAAATATTTTTCTTAATAAAATTACATTTTTTAGTGGATAAATTTGTTATTACACTTATTAAAATAAGAGTATACAATTAACATTTGGAATTGAAAATATCATCCCTGTGTCACGTGATATGTCTACAGTCCAGATACAATGAATTGGGTTTTCAAATTTTCCATCTGTAAATTATTCTTTTTTATGCAAGTGTATTGAACTGACTAAATGTACACACCAAGTTGATTATAAAATAATTATATTAAAATGAAAAATTGACATATCTTTTGTGGTTTTGCGGTTGCAAAATGCGAACATTGGATTCGTTGGCGATACTCCGTCACGTCAGTCGCGTCGAACCTTACGATGTGGCAATAGACCAATAGTGAGACTTAACTTTAGACACATGTACAGATGCTACTATAAAAAGAGTTATACGAAATAATGTATTCTTTATAGTAGAGTTTCCTCTGCTCGGTAGTTTTGAAAATGTTTCGATTACTGCGTATATTTTGTGAACGAAGGTTAAAGCATTTGTAGCGACAGTAATTGACGTGTCAGTGCAATTGCAAATGGCGGGCGCCAATGGTGACATTTCCTCGGTGAGGAGGAAAATCGAAAAATTAGGAATATCTGCTGATGAATCGGTGAAAAATGAGAATGATACAAAAAAGGAGAAAAGGGCGGAGCCTCGTCTTTGGGGTTTTGAAACCCGAGAACTGTATAAAATGGCAGTTAATTTCTATAAAGGTGAGTTAGGCACATTGACAGTTTGCTAGAATGATCTTGCTATACAATTCTTCATCTTTTATTAGAAAATATGACGTGTCTACCTAAATATACATATCTATACTATTCTATTATATTTTCGTAATAATAGGACACCTTGAAGTATAGAATTTTACGAGAACTTCATCTGTAATTGCTGTGTTGACTTTGATGTTGTTTAGCATTGTTGACTTATATTATCTGTACTAAAAACATCACTGATACGATTTAAGGGTTGTATGTAATTATTACAGAGAAAGAGGGAAAAGCAGTTCATTTGTCTTATGAAGACAAGTTAAAGTTAGTTGCTTTTACCCAACAAGTAACACATGGAAAATGTACAGCAGAAAATGCACCACCTTTAGGTGTGTTGGATGTAATAGGAAGGGATAGACGTTTGGCATGGCAGAATTTGGGAGATATATCTAGGGAGCAAGCTATGGAAGGATTTATAGTTTTATTAGACAAATTGTGTCCCTTATTCAGAACAGTTGTAGAAGCACAGAGGAGGGACATAGAAGAAAAGTTACGGCTAAAGAAAGAGGAGGAAGCAAGAAAACTAGAAGAGGAGAGGAAGTTGAAGGAATTAGAAGAACAAAAGAAGAAAGAAGAAGAGGCCAGGTTAAAGGAAGAGTTACAAAGGAGACAAATTCAAGATGCCTTAAATCAACAAACGTATCATCAATTTAAAATGTATGCAGAACAACAATATCCTGGGAATCCAGAGCAGCAAGGTGTTTTAATACGACAGTTACAAGAGCAACATTACCATCAATACATGCAGCAATTACGTCAAAATCAGTTGGTTATCGAGAATCAGACTTCCGAAGTAAATAATGTCACAACAGAAGATTCTGAAAAGGAGGAACATAAAGAAGAGACTGAGGAAACAGCGCCATTAAATGAAGAAAACTCGGATGATGTACAAGAAGATTGGCCACCTATAGATCCAGCAGAGATGTGGACAATAAAAGGTGTCGAAAAATTTAAGGAAACCATTAGGAGGGAAGCCGGTGATGCAGTTATTAAGGTTGGACATGGGGAGATAGTGACTGTTAGGGTACCAACACTTGAAGGTGGCTCTTGCCTCTTTTGGGAATTTGCAACAGATGGTTATGATATTGGTTTTGGGGTATATTTTGAGTGGTCAAAACCAGAATCAAGTCAAGTGTCAGTACATATTAGTGAATCTGAGGATGAAGATGAAGAAGAGGATGAATATGTTTTGAGGGATGACTTGGAGAGTGGAGTAACGAACGGCAACATTCAGTCTGATTATAAACCACCATCACCGCCTATAAGCGTGATAGTACCTGTGAGTATAAAAATGGAATTTTCTACTTGTGTTATAGGGATTAAGTATTCACATTGTCAATCATATACTTATCTGTTTTTGTAAACAGGTATATAGGAGAGATTCTCAAGAAGAAATCTATGCTGGAAGTCATAGGTACCCTGGGCAGGTAAGCAAACTTAAACTTTGAACATATTAAAAATTGTTCTATACGTCTGTCTCTTACAAATTTCTTTGTTGTAGGGAGTGTACCTTCTTAAATTTGATAACTCGTATTCACTTTGGCGAAGCAAAACGCTTTATTACAGAATATATTACACTCAGAATGGCTATGTGAAGAATTAGCTTTATAAAAGGCAACTAAAATTCACAGATACAACCGTTTGAGAACTAGCCGAATACAATGGTCTGCCGATACTGCTAGTCCAACTAAACGAAGAGTCCTATATCATATTTCTGTTCACATAAAGCGATGTACTCGCATAAAAAAAAATTATATACTTATTATAGTTATGTAAAAACACTTTATTGTTTAATATGGCAACAAAGTGGGCACAAGTAAAGAAAAGGTTCCTATTGTTCCCTTTCCCATGAATCTTTGTAAAGTGAGCAAAAGCAAACGAAATGTATAAACGTTAACGGCAACAGTATATGTGCAGCAAGAAAACTTCTTTGTACCCGATATATACGTGTCGCATTCGAGTTATATATTATATATATATCGAGTAACATTATTACATAACAAAGCAATAATACTGCTTTCCGTGGTCTGACCTTCAGTCTGTTTTTATTGTTATTTCACTCGTGATTATGTCTTATACTTTTATTAACAATGTCCCACGTTTTAGAAAAAATACATTGCAATCAAAGCACTTGGTTGTTTCGTTTGGTAATTATAAACGTATATATAGATCTATATATTAAGAATCAAAAGAATTTCAGAAAGACTGTTCCCCTTTCTCCTGTCAACATTTTATTGTGTTTTAATCATATCGTTTTAGTTTTTTTTTACAGGAATGTATATCGTCATTAATAATAATAATAATAATAATAGTAATAATAATAATAGTAATAGTAGTAATAATAATAATATTAATTATATACACAGCGGTATAGAGTTACAGGCTTATAACGCGATCGCGTGTACAGTTAACCCACAATAACAGACGATTCGCCCTATAATAACAATTTTACTTAGAAGAGCACTTTTTGAGACGGCATGGTTGTTTTTTGTTATTAATATTGCACGACAATGAGATTTCCGTTATGAGCAACAAATACATGTCGGATTAAATTGCAAAA